ATGTTACCTGCGGTTATTAATCAGTGTTTGCAGTAAGAGAAGAGTGGTGTTTCTCATTCACAGCATTGACTGGAAATCAGGGCAGTGAAGTAAGTCATGTAAAGTTTATTGGTGGAGATGAGTTTTGACCCTGGTCTCGAAGGTTGGAGCTGACTGAGACTGACAACTAGAAATCAGTGACACGTTCCAGGTAGGGCCCCACAGGGCAGGAGTCACAGGCTTGTGTCTGCTCCTCCGGCAGGGCTTCCTCCACTGGGGCTGATTTCTCTATTTCCAAGCTCCTTATTTCTTTCCATCATTTTAAAATGATGAAAATCAGCTATCGCCATGACAACACAAAGCAATTTGTGAACTCTGGAAGCTTTGTTCTTTATTCAGAAGTGATGTTCTGGCCGAGGACACTTGAGGAAATATTTCTCATTCTGCTCCTCTCTCTCAGTTCCATTAACCAATTATTAATGAGATTGATAAACTATCAATAATAATTAGACACTGTAGTGGAATGAATCCCAGTAGAATCAGTACATATGAGCCTAAAGAACCCATAGCGGTAATGTCAAATGTATGCTCATTTTCAAAGTGACTCATTTAACAGCTTCCCATTTGTTCTCGAATCTGCATAGTATATTCGGGTAGAGCACAGAGATGTTTTTAACAGCAGAAGAGATTAAAAACAGAGCTATCAGATTAATTCACCTTTTCCAAGCCTGTCACGGGCAAATCCAAAGAGGTAGGTAAATTAGCCCTGGACTGTGTTATACCTATTTGCTCATTAGGTATAATGAGCTCTGAAAACAAAGGAATGGAACCCATGAGCTGTTTTATAGAGATTTTATCCCACACTCGTTGATAGATATTAAGATACTGACATGCAGGATCCTCAGCCTCTGTAGAAAGGCTCACTACCTGTTGGGTTTCCAGCAGGAGATAGCCCTAAATTCTTACAGGTCATCCAGACTAAACTATCAATTCTTGAAAGATTCTTGCCAACAAGCCATCCTTTGGTGACAAGAAGCTCACTGGTTCATGAAGCGGCCCCATTGTGTGTTTAAATTCTTACTCCTACTGAGCTGAAGCTTCTCCACAATTTCCAAATTTGAATTTTATTACAGCTTGGCTATGTGTCTGTGTGTCTGTTTAATTTGCTCATTTTCAAAACAACTTGGAACACAAGGAAGATCTGGCCAGCAGGAATTGGCCAGGTCTGGGTCTACATGTAAGGCACACTTACTATAGACATCTATTTCCTCTCCAAATTAGGAGTAAACCAAATCTTATTTTAAATGTCTTTAATAGTGAGTCTTTAGGGAACCCTCACAGTGGATCCTTTCATGCCACTCTTCCCCAATAGATGTCAGAGCAGGTTGGAAGTGGAGGGACGTTTAGGGTCACACTAATATCTAGGCCACTGGCCAGGGTCACACCAGTGAATGGACAGTAGAGCCAGGATCAGAACACCAGCTCCCAGGACTGGGGTTGGAAGCCAGCCTCTGTTCTTCATGTGGGGTCCACCACCCACAGACTGTGCGCCTGCAGCAGAACACACCTGTGTTTGGTAAGATGACCTGCTAAGCCACTGTGTATGTGGGTTAATTATGCAGACTGGCTATGACTATGATGGAAGCCGAGAGTGAAGGACAGGCATCACATCTCCCTGCAGCTCCTACAGAACTGGACACCGTACAGAGTTACAGCCTCCGGGGCCTTTTCCCCAGGTCCTGGGACCACTTTGATGGTGTATGCATGGAGGGAGAAGGGGCCCTCGGTAGCATCTTATTTTTTTTTTAATTTTTATTTATTTATGATAGTCACACACACAGAGAGAGAGAGAGAGAGGCAGAGACATAGGCAGAGGGAGAAGCAGGCTCCATGCACTGGGAGCCCGATGTGGGATTCGATCCCGGGTCTCCAGGATCGCGCCCTGGGCCAAAGGCAGGCGCCAAACCGCTGCACCACCCAGGGATCCCCCTCGGTAGCATCTTAGTACGCAGCAGACCATACACAGAGAGGTCGGTTCTGTCATCCGGCCCCATCCCCCCAGAAAGCAGCCCCACGTCCTCCTGCCACAGCTTTCCACATCCTCTTGCTTCTCTTGGACTCCTCCTCCCTACTTTCCAGGTTCAGGGACTTTCTCCTTGTGCCCCATGTCCTAGTTCTTATGCCAGATCTCCATGCCCCCCACCCACTTCCACCCCCCACAAATCCCATCTGCTTTTCTGATTCTCAAGTATACGTTTCAGTGACATGAAATACGCTCACAGCACATACAACCATCACCACTTATTTCCAGAAGTTTGTCATCACTCCAAACAGGGACTCTGTACCCATTAAGTAATCACCCCATGCCCCACCCTCCCCAGCTCCTGGTAACCTTGAATCTACCTTCTCTAGGAGGTTGGTTATTCTAGATACCTTTTGTAAGTGGAATCACACAGTGTTTGTCCTTTTTGTGTCTGGCTTCTTTCACTTAGCGCATTTTCAAGGTATATCCATGCTGTAGCACATATCAGAACTCTATTCGTTTTTATGGCTAAAATTCCATTGTGTGGATAGACCACGTTTTGCTTACGCATTTGTCTGTTGATGGACACCTAGGTTAATTCCACCTTTACACTCTTATGCATGATGTAGCTGTGAACACTGGCATACAAGGATCTGATTGGGTCCTTGCTTTCCCCTCCTCTGCATGAATACCTCCAGTGGCATTGCTGGGTCATATGGTAATTATGTGGCTTTTTGAGAAACAAGCATATGGGGATTTTTTTGCATTCCAACTGTTATAAGTGGGAAGCATAGGTCTTTACTAATTAAAATGTATCTGTTTTATCGAAGTTAATATGAAGAGCTGTAAATATATGCAGTCACTTCATTCCTCATCTGCCTTTGAGTTCCTAGCAATTGTCACCGGTACAACTCATTTGACAGTTAATCACAGAAGGCTTTGTGACATCCATTATTCTCTTTAACCGATTATTTTAAAGCTTTTACTATTTAACTTGTCATGTTTTTATACAGTCCCCCACTGAAATTTTAATCACCTCCAGGGCAGAGGCATGTATTATATAGCTCTTTGTACAGGAATCCCCCATGGCACCTACCACAGATCTCCAAGATATCTAACTAATGAGTTTTCATTTCTTTCATATCAATCTTCTGGTTTATTCATAGACTAAAAACTTCTCCATCCAATCCATGCCTTGATAGAATCCCCTTTGCCTGGATCTATTTTTGCAATCCTGTTTTCACATGTTAAATGAGGTAGCACAACCAGTAACAGTGATAATAGCCACAAACTTTCATATGTACACTATTCAGAGCACTTCCCTGTATGTTCTCACTTCTCAAAATAAGCCTATATACGTAGGTAGTGTCATTATCCACGTTTGATCGATGAGACAGACAATCACTCAGAGGTTGCATAGCTAGCTGCCCAAGGCCATACAACCAGCAACTGCGAAGTAGTTGCTGCAGGGCCTGTGTTCTGACCCACGGACACAGTTAGGGAGGGACTCTTCTACCTTGAACCAGGAAGGACAAAATGTGCAGCCACTGGAAGAATATTTCAGCCCAGATGTCAGTAGTGCCAGGCTTCAGGGAGCAGGGGCTCAGACCTTCTGTGGGTTCACCCCCCAGCCCCTCTAGCCTTTAGCAGCCTGGATGACCTTCCACTTACCTTCTGCCCGGTTGCCTGGGGCTCTCGAGTTTGCCCACTTCTCTGCTGCCCTTAGGGTGGCAGAGATCTATCTTGGAAAGAGTCTGGCCTGGGACTGGCCACGTGACCTTGGGCAAGACACCTGGAGGTGGGAGTGGTGGTTCCATTAGGCCCTCCATAAATAGCAGCTGCTTCTCTTAGCAAATTATTTGGAAACTGACCCTGTCTTACCTAGGCAATCAATATTTCTTAAAAATAGATGATCAATATATAAAAATAGATGTAGATCTTTTTTTAAAACCCTCACAATAAGCAACAAATTCCATATCCATCATCCCACCCACCTGCCCTGGAGGCAGCCAGAATGGGTTCCCAAAGTAGCCACACCAACATAAATATCTCATGAAAGAAAATGTGCTGGCCAAGAGCCATCCAAAGCTGGTTCCTCCCTATCGGCATAGAACGAAGTTTCCGATACAGGAGGAAAATCACATCTGCTGAGCAACACTCTCGTAGGCGTCATCCCCAAGGGAGACCTTCTGACCTCACCTACACACCGTGCTGTCCCCTCCCTGATCCTTGGCTCCCGCTCTAGGGAGGCTGCAGAGGGGCCAGGCCTCCCCCTCGAGAAGGGGACCCTCAGATGTCCTGGCAGCCTGCACCACCCACTCATTCCACATGACATCCCAGCAAAGAGGTGGCAAAGGGTGTGGTGTCCAGCTCCCAGTTTTTCTCTCCCAGTGTCTCTGAACTGTGTTGTGTGTGGTCAGCCTCCTGAGACCCCGCTCTTCATGCACGCCTCTCTCTGCATCCTGCTTCCCCTTGGACATTTTGCCCCCTCGCACCCAAGTTCAGCGGATCTCCCAGGCCCTGAACCTAAGCTGACGATGGCTCTCCTCTCAGAAGTGTCCTTCTGCAAACCTGGGCCTTAGGTTGCCAAGGTCTTCTTGGGCTTTCTCTACATGCTAGGATGTCCCCTTGTGGTGGCTCAGAAGGTGCTGCCACACAGCTGTGGGCTATAGGCACCTCCCCTGCAGTTCTCCTGCTGGGGGAGAACCCAGGGCCATCTGGAAGCTTCTCCCGTTTCCAGAAGTGCCGGGGCCCCAGCTCCAGCCCTTCTCATGTCTTCACACATCCCCCTGCTGGTTGGATGGGCAACACTTGTGTCCCTAGTCTCCACATTAGGGTCCGGAGAGCAGACGTCACGTTCCTACATACACACACACACACACACACACACGTGTCCCAGAGCACAGAGGGGCTTCTCACATGGCTGGTTCTGGAATGCTAGTTGGTGTCTCACCTCACAGCTGCCTCACAATCCTGATTTCTCCCTTTCTGTTTTCAGCACTGTCTCCAAGCAGAGAAAAAACGTCATCAGCTGTGTCACAGTCCACGACTCTCCGTACTCCGACTCCTCCAGCAACACCAGCCCCTACTCCGTGCAGCACCGTGCTGGGCACCACGGCAACGCCTGTGATGCCAAGGGGAGCCTGGAGAACCACTGCACTGGGAACCCCCGAACTATCATCGTGCCCCCCCTGAAAACCCAGGCCAGCGAAGTGCTGGTGGAATGTGATAGCCTGGTGCCAGGTAACTTGGGGCCGGGGCAGGCCAGGAGCACCTGTCTGCAGGCCGGTGTTTTTGGGTTCTGCCAACAAGCGGCCGTGTTGTGGGAGAACTAGTGAGCCCCAATTACTGTAGCTCCTTACCCAAGGATTACGCTCAAGCAGCCAGGGTAGGGTTCTGTTTAATGTCACCTTGTAGAAGTGGTGTTTTCACTTTTTCATTCTATAATTAATCCCTCGCTGCCTTTACGGTGGATCTCCCACTGATTAGGTGCATAAATATGAAATAAAAGCCACCCAGCTCCCTCCTGGCTTAGGCTGCTCCTGACTGAGCATGAAGAAGCCCTAGTGGTAGAGCAGCATCCTGTGTGGGAAGAACCTTCTCTGAGTCCTGCCGGGTGAGGGTGACACATAGGCTCACTTTGGTATCCCCTCAGAGCTTGCTGTTGGGAGGACAGGTCGTAGTGACAAGTGTGCTTATCTCCTGACATGCTGCTTGAGTAAAAGGAGCCCTTCTATCCCACGAAGGCCTGAAAATTGGACTAGAATAAAGGCTGAGAGCGTAACCTTCCAAATAAGCTTAGTGGCTCCCCTCAGCTTTGGTAGTATCTCACCAGTGGAAGAATTTAGGGAATAAACTAGAAGCCATCTGCTTTTCTGCCATGAACTGTCATCAGGCCATTCAAGGCAGGCAGCACCTTCACAATAGCACTCTTTAGAAGGAAAGAGGTATGACCGGGCAAAAAAGATTTTGTTTAGATTCAGGGAGCTAGTAATCAGGAAGGACCCCCGTCTATGTCACCTCAGATCCTTCTTGGGGTGGTCACCACCATGTAAGACCCGCTGGGCATGGGCCATTCAGGTTCTGCCACTGAGAGTGACGTGAAAGTGAAGAGCAGAATTCAGGATGGGGTCTTTCTCGGGGCTTTTCCAGCCCAGTACCATAGGCCAGTCCACATAGTGCGGGACACATGGACATCTCTTTCCAGAACCCTCTATCTCTACCCAGGCAAGGGTTTTAGTAGAAACCTTGGCAGGAAGAACACTCTCTAGAACCAAAGGAATCTGTAAGGCAAACAAAGTTGTTCACCCAGGAGACAGGACTCCTTAGAGCAGTGGCCCTCAGACTTTTCTACTCATTTATCCCTGAAATAATTGTTTCAAACTATATACGTCGCACATTTTTAAGTTTCGATATGGCAAAGGATATCATTTCCATCATATGTTGTGTCACTGTTGAAGTATTAAATATGTTTGTCAAAACCTCAGAGCTACAGATTCAACTTACCCAATACAGGGAGACACAGCCCTGTTGCCTTAGAAGCAGCCACTCCTTGTCATCAGCCAGGTGGCTACACTGATTCACCTCTGTCAGAAGTGGCTTCCCTCTGACAGCCACCTCACCTCTGAATTTTGTTTCATGAATGGATGAATAGAGTAGAGAGTTCCAAAGAGCCTGTAGCCTGAATAAAATGAGACTGGACTGTCTTCAGTGTTTCTTACCAAAGACAGCTTGACTTTGCTAAAAAGGGACTGTCCGTCCCTCAGGAGCTGGTCAGGGTTTTCACACCTGGAGGCAGTACACTGTAGTAACTTCCCAGAGAGAGGAGCAATGGGAGACACGTGGATGTGAGGGAGAAGGTAGGAAAGGAAAACCAATGGATGTTAGTGCTGGTGAATCAGTTGAGGAAAAGATAACATTTGCTAACTCAAAATATGGAAATTGACCCTTTAAGTCTTTATTACCAAATACCCTCGAGTCCTCAAGAAGCCCTACATGTGCTGGCTTATCATTGTAGCCCTCGAGGGGCCATCTGGCCGGCTCACTTAGAAGACTGTATGACTCTTGATCTCAGGGTTGTGAGTTCGAGCCCCACGCTGGGTGTAGAGATTACTTAAAAAAATAAAATCTTAAAAAAAAAATTAGATTGCAACCTGCAATGCATACAGCTTGGTGTGAAGGGCTCTCCTACTTCATTAACAGTAAACATCTCAAGACCATGTTGTAGGAAGCCTGACCCTTTTATTGAACAGGAAGAGGATATAGTCCTTCTTCATCTGCGATCTGAAAACCAGGGCACCTGGGTGGCTCAGTAGGTTAAGTTTAAGCAACTGCCTTCAGTTCAGGTCATGATCCCTTGGGGCTCCCTACTTAGTGGGCAGCCTGCTTTTTCCCTCTGCCCCTCCCCTTACTCCTGTATTCTCTCTCTCAAATAAATAAATATTTTTTTAACATTTTTTTTAATTTTTATTTATTTATGATAGTCACACAGAGAGAGAGAGAGAGAGAGAGAGGCAGAGATACAGGCAGAGGGAGAAGCAGGCTCCATGCACCGGGAGCCCGACGTGGGATTCGATCCGGGGTCTCCAGGATCGCGCCCTGAGCCAAAGGCAGGCGCCAAACCGCTGCGCCACCCAGGGATCCCAATAAATATTTTTTTTAAGTTTAAAAAAACCTCTCCAAAAAACAAATTTTAAGTTTATAGCAAACTCATTAGTGGTGAAGCCCAACCCAGATTAGCAAGGAGCTGTTCACAGTCTCTTCCTCATAGTCATTTGTGCCGCTTAGTAAAATATCCCTGGGTTTTGGAGCAGAAACCTTCCTGTCTTTGATTACAGGGTGGTGCCCAACACTCTGTGGGGCGTAACCTAATATATTGAACCTTTCTAAAATCTGAAATTCTGAATTTCAAAAATGTGTGACCTCAGGGATTTTAGATCACAGATTGAGACCTACAGCACAAGTCCGTGAGTTTTGTTCCATTGAGAATGCCCCTGTTCTGAGACACCTTGGGGGAACTGTAACGTTCCTTTTAAAATATGGGTAATGGTTTATAAGAATTGGCTCAAGATAGATCTTCTTGAAGTCATCTACAAATTAATTGTTTTTAAGGGTGGCTGGTGCTAAATTTTTCTTGGCCTCTTAAATCAGCATGAGAGAGTGGCCAGATTTCCACATGTTAGAAATCCTCCAGCTTGGAGCTTTGTCGGCCTTTGGTCCTGGTGCCATTCTGTGGAAGGTCACACAATTCTGAGGAGAGTTACTGAAACTTTTAGACCACCTCATCCAACCCCTAGTGAAGACAGGCAATGAGACTGAGGACCGGCTGGCTTTGTCAGCATCACAGCAGTTTTGTGTCTGGAAACCACAAAGGCAGGAGAAGACAGCTTTGTGGAGCTCACATTTCACGCCTTTCAAGTTACATTAACCACTTCCATCATCAGCCCACTGCTCGTGGGCAGGGGGCGGCTCTGAGCCCTTACCCCCACTACCTTTCCACAAGAACTGCGTGATATCTGAACAGCTGAGAGTCTCAGAGAGATGTTTCTGACTGAAAAGAATAAAGGGTGGGGGGGGGGTCATTCTCTGTGGTAAGGCTACTGATTCTAAAGCAGCCAGTGCTGCTGTCTCTGGGGAGCCCCATGGTATAACTTTCCCTGTAAAGAGAGATTTCTTTTCCCCTGTGAAGACATGCTGCACAGTCCTTCTGGTGACAAGTAAAAAGCAGGAACTTCATGCTGGTGCCTACTCGTCCCAGCATGTGGTGTTTCTCAACACGAATATATACCGTTCATTACAAAGTCATCCAAGGCTCAGAACCATCAGGAAAGCAGCCTTCCTCAGCATCTCAGTGCCCAGTTGGCCCAGAGAGGTCCCGGTGTGACCAGGTCATAGCCCCTCCTATCCCCCCACCACCACAACTGGAGCTCCCAGGTGTTGCCTGGGTTCAAGTCAGGACAAATGCTGTGCAGGCAAGTTTTCTCCCAGAACTCACCCCTCCTTTGGTTCTCAGCTTGGGAAGGAGCCTTGGGGATTGCTCACATAACCTTCTTGGGTCCCTTAGGTGAGTTGAGGTTCTTTTGGAAGGCAACAGAATGAACTCTGTGCTGCCTTAAGACACATAATTCATTGGAAGGAATCAAGAAGGCTGAAGGAAATTTCAACAACCACATCCCAGGCTGAGCAGGACCCAGAATTCCCAGGACCTAGACCACTGGAACCCACACACCTGCTTTCTGGAGTACCACTTCACCCTGACCCAGAGATTCCCAGGCTCCCAGTTTCCCAGTTCCAGGAGACAGGATGCCTCCGCTTGGAGTGGACATCTGTTCCTTGAGCACCAGCTTTAGCCAGGAGACAGGGCTCAATAATCAAGATGTTAACAATAGCTGACACAGGTAACGCTTTTAAGAGCTCAACATGTGACAGATAACTAAGCAATCTGTAATCATTAATTGACATAAACCTCATGACGACCCTGTTTGTAGTTACCATTATTCTCCCAGTTTCCCAGATGTGACAATGGAAGTACAGAGGTTAACTCGATCAAGACCATGTGGCTGAAACAAAAAAAAAAACAAAAAAAAAACCATGTGGCTGGACCTCACAGGCATCTGGCTCCCCAGCCCACCCATACTCCGAAGCACCCTCCCACTCACCTAGCACAGACAGGACCACTAGAACTGTTTCCAGGGTGGCGGATCTTTGAGAGCAGCTGGGCAAGACTGACCAGAGTTCTGTAATGTCCCTCATGGCTGCAAGCCGTACCTCAGGAGCTTTACCTTCAGCACCTGTCTTCTGCCACACTTGTCACTTTATTCATCTCAGCAGGAGGAAATGATTCTTTTAAGGTCTTGGTCCCCTGCAGGACCCCGTCCCTTATTTGGGGGTTCACTGCTCTGACCCGGTCCCCATTCCCTGTTCCCACAATGGTGGTAGCAGGCACGTGCCCAGCTCTGTCACGCCATTTCACCTAAAACTCCTCTAAGCTCTTCACTTCCAGACTCAAGCTGTGGATACCTGGAGCTCAGGCTTTCTCCCTCACAATAATTACCACAGAATGCCCAGAGAGCTGAACTAGGAGCAGAGAGGCAGCATCCGCAGCTAGGGCCCAGGCACAGTTTGTGACCTGCTACAGAACAGCAAGGACTCTGGCTCCAGCAAGGTGGCACCATGGCTGAGTGAAGAGGAGACACCAAAGCTCTGCTGCTAGCCAGCATTCGCAGCTCTCCAGCTCTTACTGGGCAGGGAATCCCCCAAGCCACCATCCCCTCCCCATCCCCCAGGCTTTGGAGGGCCTTTGAGAGTCTAACTGGGTTTGGCTTTTTTTTTTTTTTTTAAAGATTTTATTTATTTATTTGAAAGAGAGAGAATGCGTGCAGGAGTGGGGAAGGGGCAGAGGGAGAGGGAGAGGGAGGCTCCCTGCTGAGCAGGGAGCCCAACAGGAGCCTCGATTCCAGGACCCTGAGATCATGACCTGAGCTGAAGGCAGACACCTAACTGACTGAGCCACCCAGGCCCTCTACAGGTTTGGCTTTTGCACAGCTCCGTACACCAGGGCCTGGCTGGTTCCTCTCATGGGGGGCATGTGTTGCTAATTCAGGTCCCCAAGCACCCCCCGCCATGGGGTTCTAATTTAGTGGGTGGGATGGGAGGACCCTCAAGTGCCAATGCACGGTCAGATTGGGGTCTCTGTTAGGACTCACTGCCTCCCTCCCCAGTGGGGCAGCTCTCTCTTTCCTACAGCTGCTGCCTGTACGGCAGGGAGGTTTCTCTTGGGCTTCAGTGTGCACCCCAGTCTCCCATCCCCTCCCCAAGTTTCTGGTTTCCCAAACCTTTGCTCTTCATGTTTCTCTCCCTGAGCAATTAATCAGTGTTCTCTCTCACCGGCCCCAGCCATCTCCTCTTTGACTTTGATTTCATCACCCTGGGATTTGTAATAGAATTGATCCAACACAGTTACATCGAGGGCCTGCTCATTGTGATGTATGCCTCATTCATACTTAGCATCCTCTACCCCAGCCTTGCCTGTTTTACACTTGCAGCCATGGGTGATTTTTTTCCTCAGGACATGTGTGGTCCCATTTTTCTGAGGCCCCATTATCCATACTCTGCTTATGTGTCACTGTGTCTCTGGATCGCAGCAGACAACCCCACTGCAGCCCTGGATGGGGCACGAAGAGCTACAGAGAGAGACCTTTCCTCCTTTCCTCCGTTAGCGCCTCCTTGTGCTTTTCAGTGTCACCAGACAGGAATTCTAAAGTCAAACAAGCTGGGACTTGCTCCCAATCAGTGAGACAAGCCAAAGCCCAGTGGCCAGTCCAGAGTCAGAGCCGACTCTTAGCTGGATCTGGGGAGACGAGGCTAATTTGACTGGCTGGTCTTGGGAACACACTCCTTCCTAGGAGACCACCGTTGTTTCCCCTAGGGGCAGGGTCTTCTGGGCAGCGGGGGGACCTCTGAGCCATCTGTGACCTCTTATTCTTTCCCACACAGTCAACGCCAGTCAGCACTCATCCTACAAGTCCAAGTCCTCCAGCAACGTGACCTCCACCAGCGGTCACTCTTCAGGGAGCTCGTCCGGAGCCATCGCCTACCGGCAGCAGCGGCCAGGACCGCATTTCCAGCAGCAGCAGCCTCTCAATCTCAGCCAGGTGAGTGCCGCCCGACCTGGCCTCAGCGGCCTGCAAACCACGCACATCACCGAGGCCCCTCCGTGCCTCCACTTCCCAGCGGGCGGCTGTAGGTGGGCCCACACCCAGCTCACAGGGCCGGGGACCTCTGAGTTCTTCCCACTGTGGGTAAAACACTGTGTCCTGGCTCCGTCAGACCAGGACGCCAGCAGAGTACTGGCAGGCTGACAGAGTTGGGCTAGTGGGTCTTTGTGATGAGGAAGGCCAGGCCACACACGGGGAACCCCAAACCCAGGGCAAGCAAGGATTTGGAGCAGGTGGGTGGCGTTTCGGTAGAATTATAAATGAAGGCAGAGTCTCCTCGGTAAAGCTGGCCTATGTGTAAAGGGTCTACGTCAGGTCCGAACTGCAGAGTGGACTCAGGGGCCTGTTTCCTCAGAAGCCATAGAGGGGACGTCAGTGGGGGAGCTTATGTTCAGAAACCCCTCGTCTGAAGTGGTGCACTTGGTAAACTGAGGCCGCATCTCTGTGTCGTCACAACTCTGGTTCTCGGGAAGAGAGGGCTCTTTCATTTGTACCAATATAACTTCAAACAGCAAAATGTCCAAGAGCCTAGGATTTTAGAGAACAAGATCTCACAGTGAGGGAGAAAGCAGTTGTCACTCAAAGAGTGGCTCCTCTGACACTTCATAGCTGCAGTAGGCCGTTTGGAGACATCCCGTTACCTCCTCAAACTGGTTTAATCTGTGTGTCATCCAGCTGGAGGCTCGGGACAGGGTTCCTTCTTCAGGCTAATGTTGCTTTCCCAGCCTATAGGGGAGGCATCTTCCCTCACTCCTGTGGCTTCTGGCCTCCTCCTCTCCTCCCCTCCCCCTCCTCCCCCTCCTCCCCCTCCTCCCCACTCCCCTGGCCCTCCTCCCCCCACCCCCAACCCCACCTTCCTCTCTTACCCCTTCTCACTTCTCTCTTTCCCTCCTCCCCCTCCTCCCTCCTACCCCTTACCCCCCTCACTGTCCTCCCTCTCCTTCTCTCTCCTCCTCCTCTCCCTCCTCCCTCACCCTTCTCCCTCCCCCTTCTCCCTCCCCCTTCTCCCTCCTTCCTCACCTCTCCTCTTACTCCCTTTCCTCTCCTCCCACGTGTCTGGCCCCCAATGCAGCCCTCTCCTGGTGCTTCTCCTTCTCCAGGCTCAGCAGCACATCACCGCAGAGCGCGCCGGGAACCACCGCCGGCAGCAGGCCTACATCACTCCCACGATGGCTCAGGCCCCGTACTCCTTCCCGCACAACAGCCCCAGCCACGGCACTGTGCACCCCCACCTGGCCGCCGCTGCTGCAGCAGCCCACCTCCCCGCCCAGCCCCACCTCTACACCTACACGGCGCCCGCAGCCTTGGGCTCCACCGGCACCGTGGCCCACCTGGTGGCCTCCCAAGGCTCAGCGCGTCACACCGTGCAGCACACTGCCTACCCGGCCAGCATCGTCCACCAGGTCCCCGTGAGCATGGGCCCCCGGGTCCTGCCCTCACCCACCATCCACCCGAGTCAGTATCCAGCCCAGTTTGCCCACCAGACCTACATCAGCGCCTCTCCAGCCTCCACCGTCTACACTGGATACCCACTGAGCCCCGCCAAGGTCAACCAGTACCCTTACATATAAACACTGGAAGGGGAGGGGAGGGGAGGGAGGAGGGGCAGCAGGGAGGAGGGTGGAGGGGTGAGGTGGGAGCCGAGCTTTTTATACTGAAGACGCGGCACACAAACAATGCAATGGGGCAGGGTGGGCAGGGAGCAGGGGGCAGGGACGGACACCAAGAAAACTTGAACCAGGAGGTGGGGGGACCTTAGAGCAGAGAAGACATTTTAAAAAAGAAGGGATTGAGGAGGGGGAAATCTATGCTTTTTATTTTAAAAAAGAAAAAGGAAAAAAAAAGAAAACGTCGGTAAACAAAAAACACAGCTCACGAACCCATTCTGCACCAAACTGGAAAGGAGAAGAAGAGAGCGACAGAAGATTCCTGGAAGTTGGGGGGGGGCCCCAGTTTTTGAAGAACTTTATCTATGAACTTCTCAAAGATTATTTTCATATGGCGGCAAGTGACATTTAAGAATTTGCTGTCGGGGACACCTGATGTGGAAATCCAATAGATTTTTAATTATGGAACATAAGAATTAGGGATTTTTCCAGAACTCTAAAGGGTCAGCAGCCCTCTAGAAGGTCAGGCCGTGGCCTGAGGAGGCTGATATTTGGGGGTTGGTATGGGGTTGGCCAAACCCAGTTCTGGCTCACATGTCAGGACTGATGGAGGGGAGTGGCCAGGCTGAAGGAAGCCCCTGCCAGCAGAGGGCACAGCTTCTCTTCCTGAGCACTCTGGAGAAATCCCTACAAAGCAATGTCACTCCTCCAATGTCATTAATAATGTGTGTTGCAAACTTTAGGTTTTTTTTTTTTTTCCTTTCCTGAAGATTTCTTTTCTCTTTGAATCAATCCCTAGTCACGTAGCATAGGGCTAGCGGTCGTCACCGACATCCTAGTAGAATGTAGCGGTCAGCACCCCTGTTTTCTACTTTGTGTTCAACTCCAATGATACCAATAGACTATTCCTCAATGTAATTGCACAAAAAAAAAAAAAAAAAAAAAGCAGCGATAGAACATAGGCATGTAACCAGTGTGGTGGTCCAGGTGTGCGAGCGTGAACGAGTGTGTGTGTGGATGTGAGCGTGGATGCCACCCTCCCTGCGTGTCCCTCGGCGCCGCCATCCCGGCTCTCGCATCCTTGATTTTACACCGGTCCCTCCTAGTGCCTTACCGACCGACAGACGCGGTGTGAGGGTTTACTTCCATGGTACTCCAAGAAGCTGACTGAGGCGAGTCACATCATCTCAGCTCTTCTTTTGTGCTGTTGTGACATTTTTCTCTGGTCTTTCCTTGTTTCCTTTTTTTTTTTTTTTTAATTTGAATTTGATTTTAATACCTGTTGTCTTTTTTGAGCTGTCTGCCAACAAAGGGGCATCAGGGAGCTGGCAGGAGCAGGGTGGGGGGAGCCCATGGATCTTGAGAGAGAGGTAGCAGATGGATGACTCTGAGAGCAAGAGGGACTCCCCACCCTGCACCCTCACCCCACTCTGCATCCAGTTCTGCCTGATGGGGGGCGGAGGGGGGCTGGCTCCACCATTTGTGAGAGCAGAAGTCCCATCTGTGTTGTGGGGAGAGGAGACCACCTGCAGCCTCCAGGCCTGGCACAGCCTTCCTGCTGTCCCCAAGGTGGGGAGGAGGCCTGGGACGCAGCACCAGGCCCTCACACCCACCGCACACTCATGCACAGCCCCGCCCATCTCTCTCATTCCACCTTTGTATGTTGCTCTCAGTTTTGCCAGATCCTTCCCTCTATAGACAACCATCCACCTTTGTTTGCTACTGCATCTTTCTTCACATTACCAGGCCAACCCAAGACTCGACTTCGTTTTTGGTTTTAGAGGGGTCTGGTGGGCAGAAGGTCGGAGGGACATTGATGAGGGTAACCAGGGGGTCTTAACACTGCACTTTGGAACACTCCCTTGGGCACTTAACGTTTCCAAAGAAATTTGCCCTTCGCCCGCTTTGCCCCATTGATCCATTCTGGAAGTTTTCTCAGGCTTTGAACACTGCTGGGGGTGGGGTGGACTAGGGATATCTCCATTCATAGCAGAATTACTCTTAAATACATGAATGTTAGGAGACTCTATCTGGTTATAGATGAGGCTTAGAAGGGGGTTCCTAATCGCTTGATTCTCATTGCTGAGCCTGAGCTGATCCCAAAGCCAAGTTTCCAAGGTGCAGAGAGATGGCTCCCAGTCTTGGCAGTTTGTCCTCATGCCCCTCACCCCCCCTGTAGTTTCCCTTAACCATCTACTGTGAACAGTGGTGGTATAGTGATATCCCACCTAACTCAGTAACGAAGCCAAGCCGTTACCTTAGCTGTTAGCTGTGAAATGTGAAAATAACTCTGGAAATCCCTTCCCCAACCATCAGTTCTACTCATCTTACAGAGAAATAGGTCCCCAAACTGGAACCAGCTTAGTCCAGGCCTGAGGCTGGAAGGAAGGACACCATGACCCACTAGAGGCACACATTCAGGCAGCCTGTGGGTCCCCAGCAGGTGACTTTTGAGAGGTTCACTCTGCTTGTGAAGCCACCAACTGATCGATTGATCGATACTCTTTTTCCCAGGACAAGGGGAGGTGCCACCTCTCCGAGACCACGGGAAAATGGCCAGTCCAGAAAGAGTGGGGGAGAAAAGCCTTTGGAGGACATGTGAGCCAGAGCCCTCTCAGAGCCATGCCAGCCAGGAAAATCCACCTGTTCCTGACTTGGCAGCGCCAGATGGCAGCAGAGCCCCATCACATCTCCTGACCAGTGACCGAAGTCTTGGCTGTAAATGAGACCGCATTGGCCTTGCATCCCAATCCCCTTGCACAGTTGACTCCCAGCCCTTCCTAGATCTGCTGTCCTATGGGAAAAGACAACATAGCCTTCCATTTATAAAAAAATCGCTTTGTCTACTTAAGTTGGAAGTCTCTTATTCTTTCACCTGATGTTTTCTTTATTTTCTTCCAGATCAGGAATGAAAGTTCATGCTGCTCATAAAAATAATATTATTGTACTAATTATTTTGGTTCTTAGCATTGTAATTATTATCATCTTCATCATGTTGATATTTTAGCTGGGGTTTTAAATGCACATTTCTTCCCAGTATCTTTGTGTTTTCTCTTTAATATTTAAACTTATTTTATTATATCTGTGAGTCTCTGAGTAGGCAGGAAGGACATGCAGATGTCCAGTTTTGTTAGACAAAAAGAAAAAAAAGGAAAGACCCAGGAATTAGAAAAATTCTTTCTACCATCTCTAGTCCACAACGAACCGTCAAGAAAGATCCACCACAGACCAAAAGCTTGAAGAAAAATCCAGGCCTTTTCTGTTTGCAGGCCCGATTAGACTCTTGATGACATGGTCATCATCAGTATTGTATTTTCCTACATTCTCAGTGGCCTGGGAAGAGTTCTGAGGTGGCAATCCCGGGGCCCAACCCTTAGCTGTGGTTCTTTCCCACAATCCCTGTGCTCTCCTGTGCTTCTGGAATCTGCTAACTAGATTCTCGGCCTGCCTCCCATCTGATACTTACCTGTCATGGAAAAAGAAAGCCCTTCTGCCTAGAGCTGACCCAGATGTCCATCCTTTTCCCATAACTGCACCAGGAGTGTGGCTTATCTTCTTCAGTGCAGAGACGGATGTCCCCTCCTGGAAGCCACTGGGTGGCATGAACTGACATAAGGGTGCTAGATAGGTGGTACCACCCCCTGGGAAACTTCAGCCTCAGTTCCCCTCCTTCTACTCACTAACAACACTGCTCACTTATCCAGTCTCTCCCTATTCCACCCCCCTCCCCCCAACAAGTACCTCTTCTCACCATAGAATTCTAGGGACAGAACTAGGAGCCAAAAGAAGGTAGAGGGGGATGGTAAGAGGCCAGAGGAACACTGACAAGGTCAAGCAGCTCCTCCAACCTTGCAGGCAGGGTCCCCCCTGAAAGCACTGGCCAACAGAGGAGCACAGCAGGGCCTCGAAGCCATCCCCTCAGTGTACTCTGCCTTATGCATGATGGGCTTCTTGAAATCGGCTTGAGGTGCCCACGTGCTGCCCACCAAACCCAGAAACTATGGGCCTTAGGTTGAAAAGGTGGTTTTGCTGAAGCCTACCAAGAGCATTGTCAGGTAGTGCTCAGCCCCGGTGGTGCTCAGCAAACATGAGTGCATCCTCCCTTCGTCCCCACCTGCCTTCCTTTTCTATCCCTGGCACAGAGCTGCAAGGTCAGAAGACCCCAGTGGGAGAGGAGAGGCCAGGCTCCTTGTGCGCTCCTCAGCACTTGCCCAGATCTCCCATCTCTTCCTCCGGCTCTGAGTCACCCTGGCCTACCCATCCCCAGGACCAAGCTCTCAAGTAGAGAGATGCCAGCCTTGTCTTTGTTTAGACCACAAATAACCTAGAGCATCCTCTGTTCTTTACCTGCCTCTAGACGCAGAAGTATAGCAGAGTTGAGGAGGGGAGGATTTCCAAGGACAGGTCAAGGAGAACCATGTACTTGTAGCCTCAGGAAGTCCGGGTGGAGGTGCTTCTGCTCAGTGGGTTATTCCTGGACCCATCTGGCTGTGCACACCCATGTCTCTGCACTTAGTACCTCGTTCAGGACGTTTTGGCTGTTTCCAAGGGAAGGGGTGAGCAGGCCAACGGGTGGGAGAGTCTGAGGCTCGGTGCCGATTAATACTGTGAAGTGGTGCATGTGGCTGATCGAGTTCGGAGGGCAGGGAAGGGTTGAGGCAAAGGGACGTTGTCTCCTGGACTGTATTTGCATTCTGGCCTTACTGGCGGTGAGTGGCTTGCAGGCTGGGGGAGCCAGCTGGCCTCGCCCTCTTCACCCTGGAAGACTCAACCCGCCCAAACACCAGATTGTCGGATGTAAGGAAGGGAAGGTGAGATTAGCACAGCTGCTAACAGGCTGATTTCTCTTGACCAGATCTCTGGAAGTGCAAACACTCATTTTTGAACAAGCTTGTGGTGGAGGATTTGGGTTGTGTGAGTGTGTGTGTGTGAGCGGAGCAGACTTTCTTGGAAACTGGAGAAAGGAGATGAGGAGGCTTAAGGAGCTACTGCTGACGGGCTGTGGTTGGTGAATCGAGGTGTGTCGCTGAGCTGGTCCCAGCTCTCACCCCATGCCCTCTCGGGTGCGGAGGCCGGGGTGGGGGCCGGGGCCCCTGCTGGCCTGCCCAGGAGCTGCTAGGACAGAACACAGAAGATAACGAGGTGCCCTCACGGAGCAGAGGGAATTCAGCAGGGAGGCGGGGACTCTTTCCGCAGGCCTGGCCTGGGATCTCACGATGCCGGCCTGAGCCATTTTGCCAGGAGACATTCCAGCCCCGGAAGCACTTTTGCATGCTGCTGTCGTTCTGACGTGTCTCGCAGATTTCAGACGGGGAGGCGTCAACACTGAGCAGCCGGAGACGTCCTTACCAAATTGGAAAGGAAGCTGTTAACTGTTCCTTTCTTTAGCCAAAGAACCCTTCTCAAAGACACCTCCAGATAGGGACAAGATGGCGTTCCTTCCTCTTTCCTTTCCGGGCAATAATGACATCGTGAGCGATGCATTTCCGTTGGTCTCTCTCTTTTCCTCCCTCCTGGCATGTATTTTTTTTTTTTTTTTTTTTTTTTAGTATTATTGTTCTTGTGTTGATTTCGAGCTGTATTCATCTTTCAAGAGGCGTGGAGATTAGGACCCCTACACGCTGCTGCTGTTAGGAAGCTGGAGGCACGGCACGAACGCGGGGCTTTACTGAGCTCAGGGCCCGCGGGCGCTGACCGGAAGCTGACCGGAAGCGGCCCCTCCGCCCGGAAGTTCAACTGCGTGGGGGGCGGGGGCGGCGCACGCGGGGGCGAGGCCCTAGGACTCGCTCTTAGTCTCCACAGACCGCCGGGTCAGACCCCGGTCGGGCTCCCGGAGACTTGAAGGTGGTGAAAGACCTGGAAACGCCGTAGAAGGTTCTGGGCGCCCTTGCGCGCTGGAGCGGCCCAGGCTAGGAGAAGTCTCCCCCGTGTTTCCCGCGCCTCCCGGGAGCTCAGGAGAGCCAGCTCCGCGCCCCCTGCTCCTTGCAGACGCCCGGGAAGGGGCCCTGCTGCAGAGCTCGCTTCCTCAGAGATGTCCTCGGCCCCCAGCTCGACGCCCGCAAGTAAGTCCTTGAGGGCCGGGCCCCAGCCCGCTGCGTCAGAGCAGCACGTTGGCCGCGGCCCATCTGTTAGACCCTCCCCCCGAGGAAGCAAGAGGCAGCGTTTGCTGCTCGCTCGCCCGGCGCCGCCGAGCCCGTGCGGGCCCATCTGGCGGGGCCCTCGTCGCCGCCGACTCGCCCGCAGGAGAGCACGAGGGAGAGGGAAGGAAAGGCAGTGGTGCGCCCAAATCTCCCGATTCCGGTGAGCTTGTGGTGAATCAGGACTTCACCGAGATAACCAGGTCGTCTCGCTTTTATTAATTAACAGCAAAGAGTGGCCTCACGTTTTCTAACAAACCATCTAAAGATCCTTGTGTTTACTGTGTGCCAAACACTGTGCTAAAAGTTACGCCTTGGTTATCTCGTTTCACGGAGTCCTAGCAGCCGTAACAACCCTATTGAAGGGGGTGGGGGCCCCCGCTCGTCCCTTTCCAGATGAGGCAGCGGGCTCCGGAAGCTCGGTGACGTGCCCTGGGTCACACGGCTGGCGAGGGAGCCGGGTCTTGAACCTGGGTCTGCCCAGCTGCAGAACCGAGCTCGCAGCCTCCAGCCTCAGCCACCTTCTGTGTTTGTGTGCAAAGAACAGCCCTGACGGAACGCCCCCCCCCCCCCCGCGCCATCCCAGCCCCTGGCGTGCAACCCAGCAGAAGGTCTGAATGAAGAGGGAGCCCCCAATTGGATGCAAGCAAAAGGGGCAGAATTCGTTTGACTTCTAGAGCAAACCTTAGGGGAGTTTCTTTTGATTCATAGTAGAATTCATTTCAGATTCCTTTCCAGTGTACCAACTAGCTTTAGTAGTGCTGCTACAACAAACTTTCGAGTGAAGAAAAAGAGTGTTCTTTTCTTCTTTTAAAAAAGAAAAATGAATTTTTTCTTGCTTATAGTTAATTCTAGAAAGGCAATACTAAAGGTATATATTTTTTTTAAGATGCTATTTTTTACTGCACTGATAAATATCATGACAACTCTGGTCTCTATAATCGATCCACTCTTCAGCTCTGGGTAGAACCAGATGCGAGATTCACACCAAATTTGTAAATACCGTGTGTGGGTCTGGTGTCCAGGAACTTTTTTCTTTGTGTATTTAAAAAAAAAAAAAGGAAAAGGAGAAAAAAACAAGATGACTCTTAGAAAGAGGAACGAAATAAGGGTTTTGTTTTGTTTTGTTCTGAGATAGTTTTCTCAAAGAAATGGAAAGAACGGTTGTATAAACAGAAAAATCAGCCAACTTTTAGGTTATAAGGAAGGAGAGTCTCTTGCCACAGTATGAGATTAATAGAAATACAGAAGCATTTTTAATTTGGTTGAAAGGTGACAAGAATTTACCAATGCTTTAGGACGAGATTTTTAATTTTTTAGAAAACTATTATCATGTGTTATGAAACATCTCCTCAGTTGTTTTGGGTGGGTTTTTTGGTTTCTTTTTTATTTAAAAAAAAAGAAAAAAAAAAAGCTTCTCTATTGACTGGCTCCAGGCTTGTTTGCCTAAATTCTTAGGTAGTTTACACGAGTTCTAGAACCTTCTAGAACTTTAACTCCATTGGAAGCAAACCCAACTAATCAGAATTTGAGATCCTGGTTGGTTTCAATAGGTATTCTGGAATTCTAACAGAATGCCTAAAGATTTTTTTAAAGAAGGTTTTAGATACATTATCTTACACAAACTGTGACCTAATGGCAATAATTACCTCAAATGTGGGCATTCATCCTGGTTTTAGCCTTTTTTGAAATCATGTAGCCAGCTTAATCTTGGGATTTAAAAGACTATGAACTCTGTGTGGGCTAAAAATAATGATTAATGCACACCCTGGTCATTGTTGCTTAAGTGAATTCTGAAAATAGTTGATCTTTACAACAAAAACTAAACCAAGGAAGAGATGATTCTTTGTGTGTTGTAATGAAATGTGATATTCAAATGCACATGTTAAGTATATATGTTTTTAGCTACTGTAAAATGCTGTTAGCCTTCTAAGATACCGAGAGAGCCACATTTTAAATGCATAATCTAAGTGATTGACTGTGGATACTTAAGCATATTTCTGGCTACATTTTATAGTTAAAGTGTTTTATAGTTTACATTTAAACTGGTACTTTTTAAAGAAAATTTCTGTTTATAACTGACACCTTCAAACCCCAGCAATTGCCTCTTTAGTTGGAGGCCACCCCCCCTCCAAGCCAGGTGTTTTCTACCACACTGTTGTGTAGCCCAACACGAGCATTTCCCTCCATGTTACTGGTCTCCATGTGAACACGAGAGAATGTGAAAGGATTTCTGGATTGAATGGGAAGGGATGAGTCCATAGCCTGGGCCAGATGTGAAGACCTTATGCCATGTTGTATCAACACTCGTCTCCAAAGAGGCCTTCTCTTTGAGATCCTGGAAGAGGCAGAGAGAACAGATACCTGGTTCATTGATTTTATCTTGATTTGAATGTTTAATTTCTATCAATCCACTGACTTCTGGTCACCAGGCAGTAGAAGACACTGGGATTCAGGTGGTCCTGAACATACAGCTGCTATTCTGGGCCCCCGGCAATATTCTGATTGGTGTTTGGCAATGGGGAGTCATATACCCCGTGCGCCCATATTCATTGGCTGGGTTTTCCATATATCTGCTGTCACTAATTCCTATTCTCCTTCAAAACAAAATAAATGCGAAAGGATATGTTTACTCTCTACTCTTTGTCAAACTTAGATTTGAATCCTAGGTGGGTGGAAAGAGGGGCAGCTAGATTCCTTCCTAGAAATTGTAAGTGCTGCTGAGCAGGAATGGGGCTGGGGAACCTAGGGACAGCTGGGAGAGGGGCATGGGGCATCGAGAACCCCTCAAAGTACAGATGGGCGCTGTAACGCTGCAGAGAGTGGGCCCCACTGTCTTGCAGGAACAGGCTAGAAAATGCTGGTTCCCCTACAAGTTTTGGTTGGTTTCTTGTTTTCTCTTGTGCCACAACCGAAGCCCAGAGGATCTGCTGTGATAAAGGGCTTTCCGTTTGCAGATAAGACTTTGCAGACTGCAGAACACCTGGGACCAGGAACTGCTTGCGTGTGTTCCTTCTAATGCATTCACCTTTTCCCTGTGACCTCTGTGGACAGTATGTCCTCATTACAGGTTCTTGGAAGAAACATTAGGGTAAACTATTTTTTATCTTTCCCTTCCTAATAATAGTACTCCTGTTTTCCTCTGGACTTTTCCGCAGCTTTAAACTAACCAAATTAATTTTATGTCATTGTCTTCGGGGCTTAACCATATGTTGAAAAACTGGAAGCATAGAAATTAGCTTCAAAAAAAGTGAATACTCTGTATCTGAAACTCAGCCTCCTCAGTTTCCTTTCAGCCGCTCCACACAGAACTCTATTTGCGCGGCCTCCCCACTTGTCCAAGTGTATGTCTCTGTGGCCACCTCCGCCTCCCCCCACTGCCACCACAGCCCCATACACAGGCAACTGGGACTCCCAGAATGCTCTCCAGAACCAGGAAGAAGGACCCATGTGGCCTTGTGAGCAGTGGTCTTGCCTCCCCATTAGATACTCACCTGCTTGGTTGAAGAGGCAATGGATTTATCATTATTATTATCATTATTATTATTAATTATTATTATTATTATTTTAATAGTTTTTGGCTCAGGTTATAAGGAAGAACTTGGGAAGTGGAAAGTGACTTGACCATGCCCATCCTTTGTAGCTTTCTGTGACTTCTGAATGGAACATGAAGCGTCCCCCACCCCACTTGCCTCTCCTCACTTCCAAGCAGACCACCCCAGTGGGCATTGCCTCTGCCTCGGGGTCCCCCCACGCCCCCTTTCATGCTCCCTCTCTCCCTCTTGCTTTTGTGTTACTGCTCATTTTGAAGCTGTCTTCCGTGGCTTTTCCAGGGCACAATCATTTCTGGCCCCCAAAGCATCTCCTCATCCTCTTTGTGTGCATTTTTTAACCAAATGAAGTAGACCAGGAAGTCCTACTTTGGGGCAGCAGACTTTCTAGTTGAGTAGAATCACTGTATAGATATAGATGTTGATATATATGTTAGTGTATATATATATCAAACCAAATTTCTGATAGGAAAAGTATAGCTTTACGGATGAGGAGGAAGAGGAGCTTTGAGAAGTCAGGCAGCGTTGGCGTCGTAGCCGAGCCCGGGCTGGCCCCAGGGCTGCACCTTCTCCGTGCAGGCCTGAGGCTTGGCGCTGGGTTCTTGTCACCACCTCACCACAGTGGAGGCAGGTGGCCCGGAGAGGGGGCCGCCGCTCTCTCTGGGTCCCCAGCCTCCAGGGCATAGATGAGTGAGGGGGGCAGCAAATCAGAATGACTGAAATTTTCCATCCCATTTTGCTTTGACCACATGTATTGAGCTGCAGCCTCTGATACTATATCACGTTTCCAAAACTGGGATCCATTAGGATGGAAAGAGAACAGATCTGTAGAAATGTTTACCTTTCAACTGCCCATGAATTACGGACACTGGATAGAAAGACTCACTCCCCAGAATGAGAGCCGGGAGAGGAGGAGACTGATGATTGGTCACCAGTCCAAGGAACATGGCTCCCTCCCCAAGGTCACCTTGCCCACATCTTCCTCCACCAGGTCATCTCAGCTCAATAGCCCTATGAAAGCCCCGGTCTGTTGTGTTCCTTCACTGTACGGTTTCTGTAATGAAAAGTGTTAATCCATGTTAATCCTTGTGAAAATTATTGCGTGCAACAGTATTTTCTCGTGTACCTCTTTTTCCTATGTGAATTGTCCCTCTTTTCTTTTTTATTTATAAATGTCTACTTTTTTTAAAAAACAAACCAATGTGTTGTAGACCTATATGTAACCTATTCCTTAGTCTCATATTATAGGTATGTTATAAGAATGGATATTTTACTTGGCTTTAGAATGTTTTACAAGAAAAATAATTCTTAACTGATCAAGTCCTTGCTACTAAAATGCTTGTGTTTTTCATCATGATGTCGTGTGCTTCTAAATTAATAATCATTTTCGTTGTAGAAAAATGGAGTGAATTTATATTAGTCTTGGAAACTAATAATAGCATTGTAAATTTATGAGATGATTTTAACAGAAAAAAATTATAGAAGAATATAGTTATTTTAATTGTAATATTACTAACTGTAGGGTGAGAAAGGGGGGTCCCGTTGTGGTGAACTATGTTATAGCTTGTTACTCACAGTTTCTTTTTGATCATTTTTTCGGTCTCTGAGGTGAAACGAGTTATTAATTAAAATTTGTAAACTCACATATGCATATTGTATATGTGTAGAAATGTAATCACACTTTGTCTTGGAATTACATTAAACTGTTTGGAATCACTGTACCCTTGGCCTGCCATGCTTATTTCTTCTAGAACCAGACTAGTCATAAGACTAAAGAGGTTACTGCTACAAGTAACGCCCTTGAGGAGTTATCTGACCCTTCAGAAATCGTTTAATGCCCCTGAATGCTTTCATAACCCATCACCGCGCCTGCAGTCTACTGAGATGACCGTGAATGGCTGTAGAGGGAGGGCCTTGAGCCCTTTCCGCTTCGTGTGTTGAGCAGTCATCATCACCAGCTATTTCTAGAAATTTCATCATCTCAAACAGAAGCTCTGTACCAGTTAAACGATAATTCCCAGTTCTCCGTCCCAGCCCTTGACACCCACCCTTCTCTTTTCTGTCTCTAGATATCTCATGGAAGTGGAATCCTACAATATTTGCCCTTTACTTGTTTTGGCTTATTTCATGTTAACAGTGTTCTCAAAGGTCATCTATGTTATAGCAGATGATGTCAGAATCTCCTTCCTTTTAAGACTGAATGACATCCCATTATATGTAAATACCACATTTTGTTTATCCATTCATCTGCTGTCTCCATCTTTTGGATTTTGTGAATAATGCTGTCATGGACCTTGGTACATAAATACGAATCCCTGCTTTCAGTTCTTTTGGATACATACCTAGGAATGGAATTGCTGCGTTATCTGGAAATTCCTAACTTTGTAAGGAACCGCCAAAGGAATCCACAGTGATCACACCATTTCATGTTCCCACCAGCAATGCGCTGGGACCCAGTGTCCTCACCTGGCACTCTTAGCCTGTCTTCCATTGCCAGGGTTCTGGGTATTTAGGACTGACCGGCTTCTCACCCTCCTGTTATCTGCACGTCCTGGTTCCACAAACTCACAACCAGCCGAAACTGCACCCACCTTACCTGTACCCAAAGATTTCTGCCACACCTACTTGCTGTGGCCCATCCAACCACCTATGCCTCTGCTCCCACACCCACCCAAGCTCCTGAGCTGCTGGAGAAGACCCCCTAGCCCTGCAGACCTCAGCCAGCCTTCTGTGCTCATCAGCTCCCTCTGTGGCTAATCGGAAATTTCTCATTCTCCCTGTGCCCTTGACTACGAGACCCTCTACTGGGCAGAGAAACCCAAAGAAATCCAGGTCTACAGAGCCCTTCAACCCCACCTCTCCCACAATCCCATCTGCCTCCATCTCCATGCTTTCTCCCTGTGCAGAGCTCTTTCCTGCCAAGCATCCCTGCTTTGGATCTTCATGCTTTCCACACGGGTTGCCAAACCCTTATGTGTAGTTCTCATCATGCTGTACTGTCAACATCTTTCCTGATGTCCCGTCCGCAAAACCACAAAACCCTTGCAGGTAAGGCTACCTTTCATCTCTGTTCCTAGGGCATCTATTACAATGCCAGGCACAGAGTGGGTCATCAAATATTTGGCTAAATCAGCAAATTAGCCCAGTTTCTCACCCCCCATTAACCTACCCTTCCTTGGGATCCCGGGTCTCCCAGACTTCAGATAATACCAACAAACCCCTAAATGCAGCCAATGGGTGAACTTGGTTCGGTTCAACTCAGCCAAAATTCAAATTATATAAAAAAAATCCATGCAAAAGGGACACCTGTGTGGCTCAGGGGTTGAGCATCTGCCTTTGGCTCAGGATGTGATCCAGGAGTCCGGGATCAAGTCCCACATCGCGCTCCTTGCAGGGAGCCTGTTTCTCCCTCTTCCTGTGTCTCTGCCTCTCTCTCTCTCTCTCTCTCTCTCTCTCTCTCTCTCTCTCTCTCTCTTTCTCTCTTATGAATAAATAAAATCTTTTTAAAAATCCCTGCAAAAGATTTTGACAATTTGAGAACTCCTCCAGCATATCTATTTCTTAAATTATAAATGCACTATCAGGGGTCACAGCCCATGGAGGTCATGCCCAGGAGCCTGTTCCAAACAACTAGGTATTTGTGGGGTTTTTTGTGAGTCTGGCTACATATTTCCTAACTATTTCCTAGAATATTTAAGCCTAAGCAAATATTAAATATGTGTAAAAGAGAATACACTAAAAGCAAAGTATAATGACCTCATGTCCTCTGAACTTATCTATTCACTTCTTCCTTTCTGTTAGTACTGAGCTTTAAACAGGCTCCTAGGATCCTCCATCCCCTACCTTGCACTTGTCCCGTGTGGGCCACGCAAATCTTCTCTTGGGAGATCTGTCTCCTCCAGCAGATCTCCCTTAGAAGATCTAATTCCATTACCCAGATGGTACTGCTTGAAGATAGAAAAAACCCACTGCCCAGCAACAACCCTGATCCCTGCTCCATAGGGAAGAAACAGCTAGGAGCTAGACATTCTGTATTGTGAGACCGTGTAATTCCAGTTTTTAACAGTTCTACACATGCCGATCTATAGGAGGTATACAATCCTTTATCCTAAGACCCTTGGCATTTGACAGTGCCTCTAAAACAACACTGGAGTATAGGGATCTTGTAAAGAAACTACTTGACATCGACTTTTATGTCTTTTTATGTTCTCTTTAAATGTCTTCTGTTTTATTGCAGTGGCTCTCAGGATCCTTAGGCATTGCAGACTAAGCCTGTGGACGGGGCTGCTTGTGAAAGCACGAAGTACCCACTGATAGATCAAAGGCCAGAGCCAGAAGAAAAACACGTGAATGTTTGGAGGAAGCCCTGCTAGGAGAGAAAAAAACATCACAGGTCTTAAGATAGCAAGGCCTTGAGCTCTGGATGTTGTATGTAAGTGATGCATTATTAAATTCTACACCTGAAACTAATATTACACTGTACATTAACTAACTGGAACTTAAATAAAAACTTGAGGAAAAATAAAACTAATAACTTTTTTATGATTTTATTTATTTATTCATGAGAGAGAGAGAGAGAGAAAGGCAGAGGGAGAAGCAGGCTCCCTGCAAAGCAGTGAGCCCACTGTGGAGCTCAATCCCAGGACTCTGGAATCATGACCTGAGCTGATGTTTAACCGACTGAGGCACCCAGGCATCCCAATAATAATATTTTTTAAAAGGGAAAAAAACGAAAGCTAGCACAAGTGCCAGGGCAGGAAGCAATAAGAGAAAAAAGGTAGCATAGTGATTCAGAGCACATCTTGAGAGGCTGCCATATTCGAGGTCAGTTCTAGGCACTGTTGTTCATGACCTTAGCTGGGAAGACAGGACGCTTGGGTGGCTCAGCGGTTGAACGTCTGCCTTCGGCTCAGGGCGTGATCCCAGAGTTCTGGGATCAAGTCCCACACCGGGCTCCCCATGAGGAGCCTGCTTTTCCCTCTGCCTATGTCTCTGCCTCTCTCTGTGTGTCTCTCATGAATAAATAAATAAAGTCTTCAAAAAAAAAGCTAGAAAGTCACTCAATCTCTCGAGCCTCAGCTTTCTTAGCAGTACAATGGGGATGATACTACATGTGGCAAAGACTGGCCGCATATTCATTTCCTCCTCTTGTTGAGCACACAGCTAGATTATATGTCCTAGCTTGCTTTGTAGATAAATATGACCAGAATGGGGCCCTAAAAAACTCACACATTTATCCACACTCTCTTCCCTCAATTTCTGGCCAGATGTGGAAGATCCAGTGAAGGACTTTGAGGGCTTAGAGTACAATGGGCCCACCAGACAGTAGAAGCCCAGAACACTGAATCACTTGGTGGCCTCCTAATAAAACCACACCAGGGATCCCTGGGTGGCGCAGCGGTTTGGCGCCTGCCTTTGGCCCAGGGCATGATCCTGGAGACCCAGGATCGAATCCCACATCGGGCTCCCGGTGCATGGAGCCTGCTTCTCCCTCTGCCTGTGTCTCTGCCTCTCTCTCTCTCTCTCTCTCTCTCTCTCTCTCTCTCTCTCTGTGACTATCATAAATAAATAAAAAAATTAAAAAAAAAAAAACCACACTGGACAAAACCACAAGAGAGCAATAAATAAGTATTTTTGTTATATATATTTTATATGGTCTTATAGAGTTATTTTTCTTGTTTTATTTAAATTCAAGTGGATTAACATATATTATTAGTTTGGGGGTAGAATTTAGTGATCAGTTGCATATAATACTCAGTGCTCATTCCATGACATGCCCTCTTTCACACCCATCACCCAGTTATCCCATCCCCCCATCCCTTCCCCTCTAGCAAATCTCAGTTTGTTCCCTAGAGTTAAGAGTATTATTATTATATTTGAGTCTCTGAAATTTTAGGGTTGTTTACTATAGCAATTAAGTTATCCTGACTAATACAGACATTGGTTCCTGAAAGTGAGGTACTGCTGTAACAAACATCTAAATTAGCAGCTGGACAGAGAAATATGAAAATTTACTTCAGGAGTTGGAAAGATGATGGCCTGTGTAATGCTTTGAGAAAATATGCCATAATCATGCAGTTAAAAACCCTAAGCAGTCTACAAAAACATCTACTCAAGGTAACAAGTCAATCTGGCAAGATTGTAGGATAAAAGGTCAATATGCAAAAACTGATTCTACTTCTTTATACTAGCAACAAACAGAATATGAAATTTTTAAAAAAAATTGTAGGAGCACAAAAGTAAATATTTGAGGATAAATGGGTTTTTCTTTTTTGATTGGGAAAATAACTTTATTTTATTAGGGGGTATAGGCAGACATCTAGCCTCAGAACTTCTAGAATTGCTGCTTTGTGCCAGCAGCCTTCGTGACTTTGGGCACATTGAAACACACAGCCTTGCTCAAGAGCTGGCACTCGCCCACTGCGATGAGGTCGCCAGTCCGGACATCCCTGCAGCAGGGGGCAGACAGATGCATGGACATGTTCTTATGGCACTTCTTAAAGAAGTTGTACTCTCAACATAGTGGAAGTAGTCTCCAAGGATGACAGTGCATCTTCATCTCAGTTACCACATCAGATAGAATCCACCCTCAGATGGACCCATTACCAGTAAACAGGTCATCTCTTATCAGTACAGGTGCCCTCAATGGCCTCCTTGGGCATCTTGAAGCCCAAGCCAATGTCTTTATAGTATCATGGGAACTTGTCCTTGCCAGTTTCTC